CCTCCTCCTCCTCCTCCTCCTCCTCCTCCTCCTCCTCCTCCTCCTCCTCCTCCTCCTCCTCCCCCCGGGAGCGCTGCAGAGCCGCCGCGCAGACCTGCTGAGCGAATCTGCTCGGCGGCTCCTGCAGCGCCGAAGGTCCCGGCAGACCGTACCCTCGGCAGACCGTAACGTCGGGCGCCCCAGGGAAGAGCCCTGGAACCTGCGGGCGCCTCGGGGAATCTGGAGGGTGCCTTCGGGCTGCCCAGGGAAGCGCCCTGGCCTTCATCAGAGAAGCGTCCCGGCAGGTAGCTGCTTCGGCCGATTCAGGGAAGCACTCTGGCATTGCATGCTTTGGGGGATTGGATCTTCCCGCTCAAAGTGTGTCGAACATGCGCCTCAGGCGATGCGAAACGGTGGGGCGAGACGTTCCGCCTCGGAGAGGTGGGGCGGATGTTCCCGCCAGGGGTTGGCGGGAACAGCGACGGCAAAATACAGTCAACCCGTATAATAAGGATGCGCGGTAAGGATGAAAGGGCCTTGGAGGGCCATGTTGACGTTTTTCGAACGAGGTTAGCCAGCGAAAGTCGGTAAGGATGGGCCGGAGGGGCAAGGATGCAAGCGTAGCCTTGGGAAATTGTTCATCCGTACTGTGCGAGTTGACTGCAGGGCGGAAATCGACCTCAGAGGAGCTTGAAACAAATGGGGCGGAACTCTCCCCATACCTGCGAAATCGCCAAGAGGTGCGGCGGATCCGGAGAGTCTAGAGGCCTCCTAGATGGGGTCGGAGTAGATGGGGTCGGAGGATCGCGCCGCATCGCCGATGCATCGCCGACGTATCGGCGACGCATCGGCGATGCATCGGCGACGTCGGCGATGCATCGGCGACGTCGACGTGAAGCAAATCGGGCCCCAAATCGAGCCGCAGCGGCGATGCATCGGCGATGCGGCGCTATGCTCCGACCCCATCTACTTCGACCCCATCTGGGAGGCCTAGAATCGGGGCGGGGGGATGGGGGTGCGCCCGGGGAGCGCGGGGCCGCCGTGCCCCTCCTAGGCCCATGGTGTTCGAGCCACCGAGGGGCCTGCGCAGCACCGCGGCATCCTGCTTTCGGGGCTCCTGTCGCCCCTGCAGGCGCGCCGCGGCCCGTCTGGGAGTGCACCGGAACACGCGCTGGGAGTGTCTGGAGCGAGCTGTTCGAGTCCTTGTGCTGCGCTGCCTGCGTGCGTCTGGGAGCTTCCACTTCTGAGCGTGCGCCCCGCTTCATGACCACTCACGCATGCTGCCCCCTCTCCTCGCTTCTTCTTCTTCTTCTGATTCTTATTACTATTCGCTCTCGTTGTTGTAATGATAAGTACTATCATCATTATCACTATGTTTATCATTACTACTCATATAATTATGAGTATTGCTAGTAGTAGTTGTATTACTGGTCCTTTCCTTATTATCAGTACTAATAGATTGGTACTACGATTGTGAGTATTACTATCATGTATACGATCGTTGTTCGTGTTATGAGTGTATGCAGTATTCTCAGTAGTAGTAGTAGTAGTAGTAGTAGTAGTAGTAGTAGTAGTAGTAGTAGTAGTAGTAGTAGTAGTAGTGGTGGTGGTGGTGGTAGTAGTAGTAGTAGTAGTAGTAGTAGTAGTAGTAGTAGCATCTCCATCATTATTCATATTTCTATGCCTGTGATGAATAATATTACTCTTATTCGTAATATGATTAATAGTTCTAGAAATACGCCTATTAGACATACTCGTCTTATTGCCAGAAAAAACCATGATTGTTCTTACACGTATCATTCGTAGTATCCGTCTCACCAGTCTCAGCAGTGGTACGATTATCATAAACAGTATTAGTAATGCGGTTGCTATTGGTAGTGTAAATGTTATAAATATGAATCGTACTCTTATCATGTGCATTCGTCTTCTTTTTCGTCTTCTTATTCTTCTCAGCATTATTATGATGATTGCTCCTTCTCCTCGGTCCTTCTCATCCTCATTCATCGCCCTGACCCGCCGCCTCCTCCTGCCGCCTTCCTCCTTCTGCCCCCCATGCTCCCTCCTCCTTCAGCCCACTGTCTCAATCCTCCCCCCCAACCCGCACTCCTCCTGTTGACTTTCCTTTTCATGCTCCTCTTCCGCCCCCTTCGTCCCCTCCCATCTCTCTCCCCCTCCACCCCGCTCCTCGGCCTCCTTCTCCTCTGTTCACCCTCCCAACCCCCATGTCCGCATAGAGTTGCCCTCGTATCTCTCTCCCTGTGCCCCGCCCCGCCACCCCCTCACACGCCACAGACACGGACCCCGAGTCGTTCACGTCCGTCAGCAGCAATGAAGGGTGCGGATGCGAGCGGGGAGGGGAGGGGTAGTGCAGGGGAGGGGTGAGGGTGGAGGGGAAGAGCAATGGTGTAGCGGGTGAGGGGGGTGGAGAGGGCGACGGAACAAAGGAGGAGCCGATCTCAGACATCCGACGCTCCAATTTGTTCGAGGCGTGGACCTCCAGAAGTCTGGACCACTTCTCACCTCCCTAGGACCAGCTTTTCATCATGTTCAAAAACTGGCCGCTCCAATGTGTCGGAGCACTGGATCTCTGGGGAGCGAAGGAGGAGCCGATCCACCCACCAGCGATCTGCCTTCCACCGCCGTCGAGCTGCAGTCGGCGGCTCTCAAGAGCCAGCCCTCTGGGGCGCGTGCGGGCATTTCCGTGGGGGACGTCGGCACCGGCGCGGACATCACCTCTTGGGGGTGGGCCGACGGGGTGCGCGATGACTGCCTTGAGCGGATGCCCCAGGATGAAAGGTCAGTGGAGGGGAGCGGGATACTGGGAGGGTAGAAGATGTGGGCACGATGGAGGGATTGGAAGCCTCCTCCTCCTCCTCCTCCTTTTCCTCCTCCCTCCCCTTCCTCCTCCTCCTCCTCCTCCTCCTCCTCCTCCTCCTCCTCTTCCTCCTCCTCCCCTCCTCCCTCCTCCTCCTCTCCTGCTCTCCTCCTCCTCCTCCTCGTCCTCCTCCTCCTCCCTCTCCTCCTCCTCCTCGTCCTCCTCCTCCTCCCCCTCCTCCTCCTGCTCCTCCTCCTCGTCCTCCTCGTCCTCCTCGTACTCGTCCTGGTCCTCGCCCTCCCTCCTGTGATTGCTACTCCTGCTGTTGAGCGAAACCCTACGCGCCGCCACGATGGTCCCGGGCAGGCCGTGCTTTCTGGCGGAGGGAGAAAAGGAGGGGAGAGGTATGCACACGACGACGAACGTGCAGGCAGGAGGTCGCAGGCCTTGTGCAAGCAGATTGCTCTGGCCATGCTTGATCACATCAGACAAGCGTTTGCCACTCATGCTCGTGACGACTTGCATGACCCAGAGTGATGCTGAGCTTTTGCAATTTTTTGCGACGTCTAACTCCTGCCCTGGAGGGGCCCCAGAAAACGGGCCAGACTTCGCGAAGAAATCCGATTCGAGACGAAGGTCTTGCATCCTGCAACTCCGCCGCCAGCTTGACCCTGCTCCCGCTCCTCCTGGGGATGAGGCTCCCTTGTATCCCTCAGAGGAGCAAGAGCTCCACAACACTCACTCTGCTGCTGTCGAGCTCACCTCCGCTGTTGTGAGGGGCTCAGTGTCTCTCCCTCCCTCTCAGCCTTCCCAACCGCTGCCGCCGCCCCCCCCGGCCTGCTGCTGTGCTCGAGCGCACCGCGGCCAACAGAGCTGAAGCGCTCCGCAGACGGAGGCGCAGGGCGGAAGCGGCGAAGGCCGACGAGATGGAGGCGAGGCGCCTCCCGATCTGCGTCTTTCGCCTCTTCTTACAGCCCGGCCCCTCCCCACCTCCTCCACGCGAATTGAAGCTTGTGCAGGCCGACCTGCACTGGTGCCTCCAGGCGGCCACTTCCGACTAGCGGGAGGGGGAAGGTAAATGGAGGGTGTATGGGGTTACGTTGATGCTTTCATATGTCAGTGGCTGATTCAATTTCTAGATCGGCCTGCCCTTGTGCTGCAGGCTAAAATTTGATGCCTTCACCCCCCGGGCAGAGCTCCATTGACTGAGTCACTGGAGGTCCGCGGCCGGCCGACCGACATCCTCCTCCTCCTCATCTTCCTCCTCGTCCTCCTCCTTATCCTCCTCCTCCTCCTCCTCCTCCTCCTCCTCCTCCCCCTTCCTCCCCCATCCCTCCCTTCAACTCTTCATTCATCCATCGCTATCCCAATCCTCATCTTCCTACACCTCCGGTTTCCCGCTCTCTTCATCCTCCTCCTCCTCCTCCTCCTCCTTTCCCTCCTCCTCACCTTCTGTCATCCTGATTTCCTGGTCTCCTCATCCTATTCCTCCTCGTCCTGTCCGCGCTCCTCCTGCCGACCCCCTGGCCTCCCCCTCCTCCTCGTCGTCCTCCTCCTCATTCTCATGATCGTCGTACATTATTGCTGTTATGATTGCTTCTATGGCTATGGTCGGTATATTTCGAGTTCTTATCAGTCGTAGCACTCGTATTACATTTGCCCTTGTCGGTTACTGCTTTCTATCAATGTTAATTGCCCTACCACGAATATCATTAATACTACAAATATCAATAGTATTACTACGAATACGAAGATTACTATTGCTATTGCTATTACCATTGCTAGTACTATTACTATTACGATTACTTTTACTATTACTGCCCCGGCGACTAATATTAATAGTATGACTACGATTACGCTTACGAATGCGACTACTATTACTACTACTATGACTAGTAATAGTACTAGTTTTGCTACTAATAGTACTACTATTGCTATTGCTAGTGCAAGTATGACTCGCACGACTACCATCACTATTACCCGTAGTATTACTACTATTACGATTACTATTACCAGTACTAATACCATTACGATCTCGATTAAACTTGCAATTCCCAGTCTATTACTATTCCGAGCACAATCAAAAATACGACTCCGATTGCAATTACGGTTACCATTGCGATTCCGATTACTATTCATATTACCTTCCCGAGTACTTTTACTATTACGTGTACGATTCGTATTACTATTACGACTCCTATCAGTATTACTATGACTAGTACTTCTACGATTACGATTACTATTACTAAGACGCTTACTTTTACTACTAGAACGACGAGTACTCTCACAACGATTACGATTATTAACACTATAACTATTCCTACCCCGACTACTATTACTATTTCTATTGCTACGTCCATTACAACTAATTCTGAAATTACGATTACGATTACTAGTACTGTTACGGTGATGCGGGTATGAGTAGTATCATTCGCATGTGTATAAGCGCGATGGTTATTGGTACTAGTTTTCTGAATATGGTCCGCGACATTACTCTTGGCATTGTGATTCGTTGTTGCTACTTGCTTTAATTAGTACGCTTATTCTTATCACGATCAAAATTCTCACCATCATTAACACTGATATTCGTGTTATCCGTATTGATATTATCCGGCGCGTCCTGCTCATAGTCGTCCACAGTATCTCCTCATACTCGTCGTCCTTCCCCACTTCTCCCCTAATCATCATAGGTGCATTCCTTTATTTGCTCGTTTCCAGCGTCTCCCGTCGCACCACTCCGCCTCACCTTGTGCTGCAGGCTAAGTTTTGATGCCTTCACCGCCCCGGCAGAGCTCAGTTGACTGAGTCACTGGAGGTCCACGGCCGACCGACCGACCGACCGACCTCCTCCTCCTCATCTTCCTCCTCCTCCTTCTCCTCTCCCTCCTCCTCCTCCTTCTCCTCATCCTCCTCCATCCTCCCCCATCCCTCCCTTCAACTCCTCATTCACCCATCGCTATCCCAATCCTCATCTTCCTACAGTCTGCACCTCTGGTTTCCCGCTCTCTTCCTCCTCCTCCTCCTCCTCCTTTCCCTCCTCCTCACCTTCAATCATCCTGATTTCCTGGTCTCCTCATCCTATTCCTCCTCGTCCTGTCCGCGCTCCTCCTGCTGACCCCCTGGCCTCCCCCTCCTCCTCGTCGTCCTCCTCCTCATTCTCATGATCGTCGTACATTATTGCTGTTATGATTGCTTCTATGGCTATGGTCGATATATTTCGAGTTCTTATCAGTCGTAGCACTCGTATTACATTTGCCCTTGTCGGCTACTGTTTTCTATCAGTGTTAACTGCCCTACCACGAATATCATTAATACTACTAAAAAATAGTATTCATATTCATATTACTAGTACTATTACTATTACTATTACTAGTACTAGTACTGCCCCGACTACTCTTAATAGTACAAGTACGACTACGCTTGCGAACCTGATTACTGTTACTACTACTACGACTAGTAATAGTACTAGTTTTGTTACGAATCGTATTACTACTGCTATCGCTAGTAGAAGTATTACTAGCACTACTACCAGTACTATTACCAGTAGTAGTATTACTAATACGATTACTAGTACCATTACTCATACCATTACGATCTCGATTGCACTTGCAATTCCCAGTCTATTACTGTTGCGACTACTGTCAAACATACGACTACGACTACAATTACGGTTACGATTGCGATTCCGATTACTATTCATATTACCTTCCTGAATACTATTACTATTACGTGTACGATTCGTATTACTATTACGACTACTTCCAGTACTACTATGCGTAGTACTTCTACTACTACTACTACTACTACTACTAACCAAGACGACTACTATTACTACTAGAACGACTCGTACTATTACTATGACTACTCCTATTACTAGTACTATGACTACTACTACTACTACTACTACTACTACTACTACCACTACTACTACTACTACTAACACCATAACTACTCCTACCCCAACAACTTTTACTATTTCGATTGCTACGTGTATTATTACTAATGCTGAGATTACGACTCGATTACTAGTATTGCTTCAGTGATGAATGTATGAGTATGATTATTCGCATGTGTATAAGAACGATGGTGATTGTTACAAATTTTCTGAATATGGTCCGCGACATTACTCTTAGCATTGTGATTCGTTGTTGATACTTGCTTTAACTAGTATACTTATTATTATCACGATCAACATTCTCACCAACATTAACACTGTTATTCGTGTTATCCGTATTGATTTATCCGGCGTATCCTGCTCATATTCGTCCATCGTATCTCCTCATACTCGTCGTTCTTCCCCAGTTCTCCCCTAATCATCATAGGTGCGTTCCTTTATTTCCTCTTTTCCAGCGTCTCCCGTCGCATCATCCCGCCTCACATCTCCTCGCCCTGTATTCCTCTTCGTCTCCCCGTCATCATCCTTATGCCTACTCTTCCTCCCGGTCTCCTTCTGTTCTCCTTCTCCTCCTTTTCCTCCTCCTCCTTTTCCTTTTCCTCCTCCTCCTCCTCCTCCTCCTCCTCCTCGTTGTCATCGTTGCCATCATCGGCCTCCTCCTCCTCCCTCCTCATCCCCATCTGGCGGCGACGACGACGCAGACGTCGACGCCGCCGACGATGCCGCCGAGGGCGCCGAGGGAGGCGCGGCCAGCGCAGGCGCCTCCGCGGACTGGTCGAAGACGGACCCCGGCCCCGCCGTGGGCAGCACCTCGAGAACCTGCATCGCCGTCGCCCCCGCCGCCACCGCCAACGCCGGCGTGGCCCTCGTCGTCGTGGGCGGCGCCGCTGTCCACGCCGCTGCCGCCGCCGGCGCCGGCGTTGTGGTTTTCGTCGTCGCCGTCGCTGTCGCCGTCGACGTCGTCGCCGCTCGATGAGGAGGATAACATAAAACAAGCTAGTTAAGGAGCGAGCCGAAGGCGTCATATCCGCCTGCATACAGCGAACGAAAAGCCAAACAGATGAGGAGGATACATGCGGGCATGACTTGTGTCCATATCCACTGCAGCTTGGAGTCTCGAGCTCTCTCTCTCCCCCAGAATATCGAGGCGCTCTGGCCATGGATAAAAGATCCTCCTCCTCCTCCTCGGACTCCTCCTGCTCCTCCTCCTCCTCCTCCTCCTCCTCCTCCTTCCTGCCTCTCCTCCCTCCCCCCCTCCTCCTCTTCCTCCTCCTCCTCCTCCTCCTCCTCCTCCTCCTCCTCCTCATTCCTCCTCAGCCTCCTCTTCCTCCTCCTCCTCCTCCTCCTCCTCCTCGCACGTGGCCCAGGAAAGTCCGAACGTCCTCACCGCTCTACCTCAGCCTGCTGCAGCATCTGAGCACGTGTAGCACGTGCCGAACAATCAAGAGACTGGGCAGGGCAGCGACGGTGTGCATTGTACATGTAATACGCAATAATCATACGCTGGCACGCCACGTCACGCTCCAAATCTGCAAGCGAGCGATCGAAAGCGAGCCGCGAGAGAATGGGTTGGGGGAGAGGCGTCTCGGGAGACCAGGCAGCGATGATCGCTGACCACATTCTAGGGCAGCACATATAGTGGGCCTGCCTGTCCGAGGCCTCTTCCTTCAAACATCCGAAAATACACTGCCAGTGTTTCTGCGACATCCTCCTCTCCGTCACCCACCCACCCGCCAGAGTCTTGACAATGCATATCTGCCACGATGGTGGCGCTTGCAGCAGACGAGAGCGGAGAGCAAGCCAGTCGATGGCTTCGAGGGCAGGAGCCGACAGTGGCCACCCGGCCCAAGAAGCAATCCTACGCTTGATGGTGTCCCCGAATTTGTCCTGATACAGAGCGACACCCAGGGAACGGCCGAAGACTCGCTGGACCTGGACCCGCGGTTTCAACAGCTGCGCCTCCGCGAGAGCCCTTCGAGCAGACAAGATCGGTTCCCGTAGCCGATCACATTCCTTAAAACCCGACTCAGCCAGTGAGAGTTCTTGCACGAACGGTCGTCTCTTCCAAAATGGGGGCGACCAATTATTAGCCGCCCGGAGTGCGCATGGCAAGAAACGTTTGGCCTTCTGCTGCAGGCGCGCGAAGAGCGGCCTCCAGTTCGTGATGGTCTGGTGAGCCGCCCTCCATAGAGCCGCTGTGCCCTGAACCTGCAGTGAGAGCGGGCGCACCTTGGCCCACGTCCTGAGAGCAAGCAGGTCAGCCAGAGAGAACGTGCAAGAGGGGAGATGAAGGACACGGTGAAGGGCCCAGGACTCCCAGCGAACAGTCTGCTTGGGGAGAGGGGCAAGCTGACAGAGGTACGAGAATTTGGAGATGGCACGGGAGTTATAAAGCTGCATCGCCACCGAGGGGGCGGCCTGCTGCTTTGTAATTGCGTTCACC